AGTTCCTCTGACAAAATTCGTTGACATGAACCATAAATTAGTCCCAAGGTGTTACAGAGGTCTTGGATGGTCAGTCTACGATCTTGCAGAATCATATCCCTATCTTTTGCGACATTTTCTGGTGTGGTGCCAGTTGACAGCTGTCCTGAATGATCGTCATCATTGGTCAATGTTCGGCCATTTTTGAAACATTTATACCAGTTGTAAGTTTGTGTCTGGCCTAAACTGTTGTCACCAAGAGCTTGCTTCATTTGGTGCGTTTCTGCAGCGGTTTTCCCAAGTTTAAAACAAAAATGTATACAGACACGCTACTCTCTCAGTTCAGCCATTGCAAAACCGCAAACTCACAGAAACACAGTGGAAATACGTTCACCAACAATAAACCCAACCACTCAACTCGAAGCCGCTTGCCACACTGATTCAAGAAGGATGTGTGGGGAGACACCTAGCGGTATTTCGATGTACTCATAACCATTCGTGGGCAAAATTCAAATTTTGGGAACTTTTCGATACACCACGTATATCAGCTGATATGTTGCATAGATCCTCATATTTTATGCAGTGATAGGTTATTTCACTTGAAGACCAGCAGTATAATTATGCAGTGCAACATTTAACATCTGTGAAAATTTGCATGCGAAAGCATTTTGCTGTGAGCAAAAGAACTCTCTGATACAATAAGCAGGACTAATATGCACTGAAGCAGTCATGCCATATAGAGGAAATGTTCTCGGCAACAGTTGCCTGTACGTTCAAACTTCATCAGAAGTGCCTAATCTGCTTCATCAACTAGCAACACAACATGACAATGGAGAGTGCATAGTCTACCACAGAGCACAAAGCGCCAATGAGTGGGGCCACAATTAGGACAATGACCTATGAACTTTTACCTAAATTGTCAGGGGAAGGTAATAGATTTTAAGAAGGGCACTGTCTCAGCATTAACATAAACATTCAATTTCTTCACATATACATTTTGTAATCTTCATGGCGCAAGAAAATATTGATGAGAAAGAATGAGATATTGGAGACGTTTCTTCCATCGACATATACAGAACATTCTGTACCATTAGGCCAGGTGCACACCAAGGAAACTGGCATCTGAAATGCAACCGCGATTTCTGAGAAGTGTTATCAGCTGGAGTTGAACACATGTTAGTAAATGGAGCAATGCAAATTGAGGAAACAGAAACGCAACTTGCGGGAGACTGAGAAACTCAATATTCAGGCAACGGAGCGTGCCAGTGAATCTACTGAGTGATAATATATGTAGGGCAGTCAAGAAGTACCCGGAATCCCCCTGAAGATGGAGAATGAGCGATAATATAGCGCACACACTGTTGTGGTGGGGAGCTCTGCATGTCTGCTTGCAGGCGCAACAGGTCTGGACAGGTTTCAGTGTGCAGTGTCTTTACTGTTCCGTTTGAATTAGACGTGAGTGTTGGTCATTCAGCGCAATGTTGCAGTTCGAACAACGTGCAAACATCAAGTTCATGTGCAAATTTGGAAAATCTGCTTCAGAGATGCAATCGGCCCTGCAGCAAGTTTATGGTGATACTGCATTAAAGAAATCCGCGGTTTATGTCTGGTTTTCCCAGTTTAAGAACGTGCAGGAGACGTTAGAGGATGACCAGCGCAGTGGGAGACCTTCGACATCCAGAACCGAAGAAATGATTGGAAAGGTGTGACAACTGATTCGTTGTGATTGAAGAATGACCATCGCAGAGTTGGAGCAAGAAGTTGGTATCTCTCACGGATCCATTCATGCCATTTGGTACGATGATTTGATGATGAGACACGTCAGTGCGAAGTTTGTTCCAAGGCAGCTGACTATGGATCAGATGGAATGTTGTATGATGGTCGCTGGTGATCTGTTTAACAAAAGTACACAGGACCCGACGTTTCTCAAAAAGATCATCACTGGTGATGAGTCATTGATGTTTGCCTACGACCTGGAAACAAGGATGCAGTCATCGGAGTGGCACACTGCATCATCTCCTCAGCCAAAAAAATCACGCCTTGTCAGATCCAAAGACAAAGTGATTCTCACTGCATTCTTTGACATCTATGGTTTGGTGCACCATGAGTTCTTACCGCCTGGACAGACTTTCACTGGCAATTTCTACGTGCAAGTTTTGCAGAGGTTGCGTGATGCGGTTTGAAGGAAGCGGTGCGACAAGTGGCAGGGACAGTGGTATCACGATAATGCACCGAGCCACACATTGCTTGTTGTGCAGCAATTCCACGCCAAGAAAAACATTTCTGTCATCACTCAACCGCCATCCTCTCTGGATCTCGCTCCAAATGACTTTTGGCTGTTCCCTACTCTGAAAATGGGCCTCAAGGGGACATGTTTCACAACCATGGAGGACATCAAATTGAATGTGATGGCTAAGCTCCAGAAGATTCCAAAAGAAGCCTTCCAACAATGGCAGGATCAATGGAGCAAGTGTGTATGCGCGCAAGAGTCCTACTTTGAAGGTGATTAGGTAAGCGTTGCCATATGTCCTACCATTAGAGTACTATACCACCATTCTGGGAACTTTTTGACTACCCCTCGTAGATACCATAAAGAGAAACATAAAAATTTTAATTGACGCAAGAAGGAGGTTGGTCTAGAAATAAACACAGAGAAAACTAAGTATATGTTGCTGTCTCATCACCAAAATGTAGAGCAAAATCCTGACATAAAGATAGATAACATGTTTTGAAAATGTGGCACAGTTGAAATATTTGGGAATGATGATAACAAACGAAAAGATGATTCAGAAGGAAATTAAGAGACTGAACTCTGGTAATGCTTGCTACCATTCAGTCCATAACCTTTTGTCTTCTTGTCTGCTGTCCAAAAACATAAAAATTAGAATATATAAAACTTAATTTTGTCTATGTTTCTGCTGACATAGCTGTATGAAAATTTGTATCTTGTCTTCGAATTTGAGATCCTACAATATCCACTAATAAGGAAAAACTTTGAATGCTCATTCTGTAAAATTATTTGCAAAGTTCTGTATTCTGATTAAATTGTTTTGAAACAATATAAACACCTGAGTTTAAATTGTAGAGAAGGAACAGGTGTACTCAGTGTTTCCTTTTCTCCTGTATTCTCATCTTAAACTGTCTGAACCACCACCATATCATTACAATGACAATATTATTATCTGATATTGCAGAAGAGAAGTGCACAAAATTGGTGGGCAAACACACCTACTTGAGATGTTGTGAGCAACTAATCGAACGTAAGTTTCCTCAGGGTGCGCCTGCTAATTTGGAAACCAGTTACCTGCTTGTAATCGGCTATATTTCCCAGAAATCGTGGTTGAATTGTAGTTGCCAGTTTCCTTGGTGTACGCCTGGCCTTAGTGTCTAAGGAGCCGGGATAGCATAGTTGGTATAGTGGCTGGATACAGGGTTTATGACCGAGAGGTCGCAGTTTGAGTCCTGGTAGAGTCACGAATTTTCTCTTCTCCACGTTGTCCAGACCGACTCTGGTGTCCACACAACTTCCTATATAATGTGTACTGGGGGGCTCTTTCCCCAAGGGTAAATCGGCCTAGGCGTGAAGTCAAACACTCACCTCTAACTAGTGCTGAAGACAAGAAAATGTGGATCTATACATCCACTCCCCCACAAGTCTTCATGGCGTAGTTCTTAATTCGTTAAGCATAGGGACAACTTTACCTTACCTTTACCATTATTGTCTTTCCCATCTCACAGGTTCCCACAATTCCAAAGGCTTTGCTTCTGAGGGTTGGAAGTTGAAATTGTTAATTGGCCACAGTGAGAGGTGGACACATAGACACACACAGTAATCTCACGAGTAAGTTACTTCCTCAAAGATGGCGAATACTAGAAAAAGAGTCCAGTCCAAAATAAATTTTCAATTTACCATAATGGGAAAATTTAATTATATCTATTGCCTCTAGGGAATTTTCGAATGGGAAGATGATTTCCTATCTCAGTGTTGGTATTTATGTTTAAGGAATTTTTAGGTCACAGATTAACAATGCGAAGGTAGAGTTTCGTATTATGGTTTAATTGATGTTGATTGTCACTAGCTGTTGCTAGTGGGCGCTAGTGTGTATGTCATTATAGACTGGGTAAAGGTAAAATGAATAGGTGGTTGTTATAATAACTTTTTGTGGATACGCACTGGAAGTTCCAATCACGTACTAAGTTCATGTAATTTGTGTGAATGTTAAACTGTATTTGAAAATTTGATACATTTTAATGTCAGAGACCAAGTTTTACACACATACGGGGCGACATACTAATTGTAGTATTGTATACTCTAATTTTTATTTTTAGATAGCAGACACGAACATAGAAGGCTCTGGACTGAATGGCAGCAAGCATTACATGAA